CCTTTGAAGCGAGCTGTACTGTCCGCACATCTTCTCGGTAAATGAAAAAACAAGGGGACCACTAATGTCACCCTCACAGCCCGGAGAGCACAAGCTCCGTCGTCACAGATGTTACCTGTTTTTTTTAACGCGTTGCGATCTTTTTATGTAAATATACTTTGTACGCCGCATTTTCTTGTGATTTCGTGTGGATTGCTTCCATGGCAGCCTCTCTTTGCAAGTTTCACATCTATTCTTCTTCATACTGGATATCATTCCAAAATAGGAGGAAGTTTAGCTTTTGATTTTAACTTTGTACGTCTAAACATTTCAAGTTTTTACTGACCAGAAACACAACCCGCTAGAGATAGTTTTAACCCCCTTGAAAATGAACACCATAATTGAGCATCGGGTATCCTTTCAGGGACTTTCCCTACAGCTGTCCGTATTGCTTATTAGAAGAGCTGTCTTTTGCTTTGGTTCATTGGCACCTAGCTACAGGAACTAGAGTCTGGTTACCAGGAGCCTCCGGTCACAGTTCTAGCTTGCTTTATTTTGTATAAGGTTCCGAAGATCAGACTGAAAATGCGTGTAAATTCGTTAACTACCGCCTATTTTCCGCCTAACCTTTACCGTAGTTTTTTTTCACTATCCACCGTCAGTAGGCCTTCTGGGAATCCTTAAACGAAAAGCACAGACTGACCATCTGTTACTCATTGATGAACGTTCACCCGACCGCTATCGGAACTCACTTGTCCCACTCTGCCTATTTACCGGCTGTCAGGGCCTCTGGCGAGACCACAGGCAGAGCGGATCAGATCAGTTCAGGTGGACGCACATCAATGAGTGTCAATATCTCTTGACCTAACCCGGCGAGACAACGAGCTCGTGGCTCAGTGGTAAGGACGTTTGACTCTGATCAAAAAGGTCGCGAGTTCGGGGCTCGGGTGGGACGCCACTTGGATCTGGGAATGACTGGCTGACGGCGGCTAACAAACGAGAAATGACTATTCCAGCCTCTTTTGTCTTTGCTGGTAATACTATCTGGCCAACTGTTGTCAGTCTTTTACCGATCAACTACCTTCCATGCTAAACCGCCTTCGATATTCCTAATGGCGGCAAATATGCTCGGAATTTTGTCATAACGCGTGTCCAATAAGACCATGGACTCAAGCTCCCCGTGTTCTGCTGTTTGACACCTTGTTCTTTTTTGTAAGGAAGTCGCCTTCTTTTCTACATTTCAGCGCCTTGTGGATACACAATGGTCCTCATACTCGGCATGGAAGGTAGCGCCAACAAACTTGGCGTGGGTGTTGTTCGCGACGGGGA